TTTGCTTTAGATCTGACCGGTGACTCTCTCCGGAGAGACGGCGATAGTTTTTTTTTTGTTTTGCATGAACGACGGTGATGGCTTCTGCTTGCGTTAAAAATGTCAGTGTTACTCAAGAGTTTCCTACTTACGGATGTTTCAATCCACGAGCTTCTTTCAGCCGTGAAGACTCTCGGAGTTCTGGATCCGCCGTACCGGAAATTCAGAAACAGATTCCGTCGTCGTCGGAGGAGGAGGAGGAAACACTCGGTGGTGCTGGCGATTTCGAGTTTAGACTTGAGGATCCCGTTGAGATGCTTCCCGCCGACGAGCTTTTCTCCGATGGGAAACTGGTGACGACGGAGATCATCGGGAAATGCAGAAGGTCTATGGAAGTAACGGAGATGGAGATTTCTTCGTGCTTGTTTTCTCCTAAAGCTCCTCGGTGTTCGAGTAGGTGGAGAGAGTTATTAGGTCTCAAACGATTCTCTCAAAACAACAAATCCGTATCAACGACGAATCCGAATCCGAATCCGAGATCGTCTACTTCTTCGTTGAAGCAATTCTTACATCGGGGCTCTAAATCGTCTTCTTCTTCCTCTGATGCTTCGTTACTAAGTCTTCCTCTATTGAAAGATTCCGATTGTGAATCTCTCTCAATCTCCTCTTCTCGTATGTCTCTCTCATCTTCTTCCTCAGGTCATGACCATGAAGATCTCCCTAGACTCTCTCTCGATGCAGAGAGAGAGAGACCTAACCATATCATTAACTACACAGCGAATCCGTTTGCTCCTGCTCGTAGCTTAAACCCAAATCCACCGAGAATGAGATTAGTCAAGCCTCGTGAAAGTAACCATAGAGTAGGACGAAGCCCGATGCGTCGTTMTGGAGGAGGAGGAGCAACACAATCATCGATAATGAGCAGAGGAGTCTCTGTAGACAGTCCAAGACTAAACTCGTCAGGTAAAATCGTGTTTCAAAGCTTAGAACGAAGCTCGAGTAGTCCGAGTAGCTTTAATGGTGGAACGAGTGGGTATAGACACAGAGGAATGGAGAGATCGTATAGCTCGAACGTGAGAGTAACTCCGGTTTTGAATGTACCCGTTTGTTCAATCAGAGGTGGTTCTGTAATATTCGGGCAG